CACAGTTCATGAGTTCCAGCCCCGTGTGGGGCTCTGTGCTGACAGCCGGGAGCCTGGGGCCTGCTTCGGATTCTGTGTCTCCCTCTCTCTCCACTCCTCATGCTAGTGTGCTCTCTCTCTCCCTCAAGAATAAATAAACATTAAAAAAAAATTTTTTTAATGGCAGTATTTTGGATATTTGAGTTAAATAAAATACATTATTAAAATTAATTTGGGACACCTGGTTGGCTCAGTCATGATTCCAGGGTCACGGGATTGGCTCACGTCAGGCTCCACGCTAAGTGTGGGGCCTGTTTAAGATTCTTCCTCTCTGTCTCTCTCTGTCTCTGTTTCTCTCCCCCCTGCCCCTCCCCTCCTTAAGTGTACACACCATGCACACACATTCTCTCTCTCTCTAAAATGAAAAAAAAAAAAAAATTTGGGGGGGGGGTGTGCCTGGGTGGCTCAGTCGGTTAACATCCGACTTCAGCTCAGGTCATGATCCCGTGGTTTGTGGGTTTGAGCCCCACATCGGGTTCTGCTGACAGCTCAGAGCCTGGAGCCTGCTTCACATTCTGTGTCTCTCTCTCTCTCTCTCTCTCTCTCTCTGCCCCTCCCCTGCTTGCACTCTGTCTCTCTGTCTCTCTTTCTCTCAGAAACAAACATTAAAAAAAAAAGGAAGAACAGAAATTTTTTATAAGATAAATAAAATTAAGCAAATTTTAATTTAACTTAATCTTTTTCTTTCCAGCTTCTTAAAATTATATATGGGACTTGCACTATATTTCTGTTGGCAGTGCTAATCTACACAACTATAGCTACCACTTACTCAGCGTTTATACTATATACCAGGTAATTTTAGATCAAATATACATAATCTTCCATAAAGGAAGCATTACAGATAAGAAACTGAGGGTTCAAAAGCTGTATTAACTTAGCATGCAGCACGTTTCTAGTATATTTTCTGTGTACCAAGAGCTGTTGTAGGCAGGGGGAATATCAGAAAACAAATACTCTCATGGAACTTACATTCCGGTGGGACAAGAAGGTAAAAAATAAATATTAAAAAATATTTCAGGAAGTGATAGATGAAGAAAGATGAAGCCTGTAAAAAAATAGATAGTGCCCAGAATTGGGGTGAAGTGGAGGTGAGGAGTAGGCAGCTGAGCAGAAACATGAAGAATGAGTCCTGCAAATATCTACCTGGCCAAGAGTCTCTGGGCAGAGTCAACAGCAAATAAAAGACAGACACTTTACACACTGGAGGAACTGCACAGAGAGCCGGGTACTGGAGAGCAGTGAACAAGGAGTAGGAGAGGAAGTCAGGAGTGCGTTGACGGCAACTTGGGAGCTTCCTCCACACACTAGGGACTGTTCAAGGATGACTTTGACTGCTCTCTGATGCACGGACTGTTGTAGGGCATGCATGGAACACAGCAAGAGGGGAGCCGGAAACCAGCTGGAGGCTACTGAAGGAGTGCAAGAGAGATTGTACGAGGTCTGTTTGCCTCAGCCACTGGAGATTTGCTGTTCCTGCAATACAAAGGAAAATAATCTAAAAATTATTCAGAGAATTTGCACAGCAAAGGTCAAATATCTGGATAATTCAAGCTTCAAAATATATTTGGGATTGTGTGCAGTTATCTGAACTGGCAGTCAAAAATCACTGTCTAACTTCATAGCATAGTAATGTATCTCTGTCCCTTGCTTTCTGCCAAGTTAACCTAAGGGAAGTGGGCTTGAGATCTGTAATTGGCAGAGGGGATCAGAGGACCTTTAAAAGTCAAATTCAGATCAGGCAAATTAGCTTTATTTCTGCCAGAGAAAAGTGTTCAGTTGAGCCAGATGACAATTTTGTAGCCTAAACTATTTGCATTGGCTCAGCCTACCTTCTGAATTACTCCAATAATTGTTAATTCTCAGTTTAAGCATAGCTGCACACCCAAGACAGAGTTAAAAAACTAGAAGCTGTGTTCTGGATAAATGTATATATTAGCCTGGATAACTCCACTCAGTGAGTCTGTTTTTACGGACAGAAGTACTTTAAAAAAGAAAGTATCCTCAAGGTCAAATGTTTTTGTTAATTTTGTTAATGTCTATGTATTCTTAGAGAGAGAGAGAGAAAGAGAGAGAGAGAGACAGAGAGAGAGAGAGAGAGAGAGAGAGAGAGAGAGAGAGAGAGAGAGAGAGAATGAGCAGGGGAGGGGCAGAGAAAGAGAGGGAGACAGAGAATCAGAAGCAGGCTCCAGGCTCCAAGCGATCAGCACAGAGCCTGATGTGGGACTTGAACTCATGAACCATGAGATCATGACCTGAACTGAAGTCAAACATTTAACCCGACTGAGCTACCCAGATGCCCCAAGGTCAAATGTGATATAGGCCAAGTCCCTTCTCCTCTGAGAGGTAAATGAAGGTTTTAAGTAGGTACTCCATTTCAAGTGGAAACAAATACACATCAATCACAAGGACCCCTAAAAGTTATATCATGATAAAAAGGAGGCACCATCCTGACCATCCAGGTTGGTTTATTTACTTTGATGGAACTCACTAGAAAATTGTTCAACATGCTGCACTGTGCCTGTGTAGATGTGTTTTCTGGGCATCAGATGTAGTTCCTGTCAGGCGCTTTCCTGGGGCACTAAAATGTATAGATTACACACATCAAAGACAGACTGCAACCACAGTAGCTGAAATTTACACAAATCTGTGCTGTGAGTAACTGGATAAACAATGAGACTAATGACCTTGTTCTTCATTAATCTCCATATGGCTCTGTTGGTACTGCCCTTGCCTTCAGGCAAGAAGGCTGTGGCTTTGGCTTCTCGCCTCAGACCAGGGATTAGACTCTAGCTCAATGCTGACAGAGCCCAGGGCCCTGCTCCTACAGCCCAGGAGGCCTGAAAAGACTACAGAGGCCACCCATCTTAAGAGGTGCATTTACCTCGATTCAAGAAACACCTCATTACCATATCCACTGAGGAAACAGATTTATAAAAATAAGAAAATCCTTTAACCATGCCTCCCCATTCAGAGAGTTTATTTTCTCCAACAGAGGGCCCCAGGTTTTCCTTAAGTATTTTCAGGGCCTCCCCATTGCCCCCCAAAACAAGACAAAATCCTCAGTGCCTTGGTCCATGTTCTTTTTCCAGCCAAAAATAAATTTCAAAATGGCTGCATCCGTTAAGAAGGGTGAAACGAAGAACATAAGTGCCCCCCGCCCCCCCCCACCCCTGTTGCTATAGAGCTCCTTCAACACCATTTGCAAGATCTGAGTGTTGCTACTAGCAGAAGGCAGCCCAAAGAGATAGAGCATCTCAGGAGGACTCGTACCTGGGCAGCCTTGGGCCGCAGTAGGAGGAGACTAGAACCAGAACACTGGAAACCACCCCCTTACTCCTGCTTTCATCACTCTGTACACAGGTCTCACTGGAAAGCTTATACTGGGAGGTGGAGCCCAGGAAATGATTCCATCGGAGGGGCTATCTTAAGTTAGGGAAGATCACAAATGAAGCACACTCAGCTAAATGCCCTCAGTGCTACACACCCAGCTCTAGCCATAACCTTTATTGCCTTGTAAACTTGAGATGCCTCAGTCTGAGCTATGTGATCACATTCTATGCTGAAACAAATTCTGATGGGATTTACTCAGTCCCAAGAAACATCTCTTACACACCTTTCTAGTCACTCCCCTCTGGGTTCTTAATGTTGTTGTTTTGAGTGTTTTATCTATGCGTGCTACATGTTAACCCTTTCATAGACCATCATACTACTAAGGTCTCAGAGTTATTATGAGCTGTGTCAAATGCCTCCCAAAATAATATTCTATTCCCAGTATCATTTGTGTACATCCTCTTATCTATCCATTAGGAACCCATCACAAGCATGAGGCAGAGGTAAATCACATTCTCTCCCTGCAATGTTTTTTCTCTCATCACACTTCCAGGGGTAACAAATGCTACGATGATTTTGGTGCCTTTGTAACACAACTTGCAGATATGGAGATGGCCACAGCAGTAGATGAGCAAGTGTGAAACCATCCCCATTTACTCCTGTGGTAGAGACTCCTAGTGCCTTAGAAGTTTTCGTGTTGCAACTTACAGGTCTCCTGAAGAATCATCTTTGCTTCCTACTTTCACATGCATTACCTCACTGAATTCTTACAACAATCTTGTCAAGTAGGCCATTATTACACCCATTCTGCAGAAAGAAAGACCGGAAATGGCTTGCTTGAGGTCAGCACAGCATGGCAAGACAGCCGTGGTGCCCACCACGGAACCAGGATTTCCAACCCCGCATTACACTCTTTCAAAGCAGTCTCTTCATACTGCGTTGCTTCTAAAACAACAGAATACTGCTCAAGTAGTGTATTCCAAAAGGGGCCTTGTGTTTTTTTTTAAACTATAAAGACAAACTTTCTAGCTAGTGGCCTGTAGGAAAAGATTTCAGAAGTCTGTCAACAGGAGGATTTCAAACCATAGACCCCAGATAGATAGTGCTCTGATAAAAAAAATATTAGCATTGTTTTTGCAGGCTCTAACTTCTGTGGGGAAAAAACTATGCAGTGCATCATATCGTGTGTAGCAAAAGAAGCACCATGCACGATGAACATGTACACAGGTGTTGTCAACGTTCTCTTCCCAATGTGGCCACAGAAGAAAGTGTGAAGCATACTGCCAATAAGACAATATTTATGGCTCAAGAAATTCGGCTTCACATAACAGTAATTATGAACAAGATATTTTCCCTAATAAAAATTACTGCAAGACAAAAATCTGGAGGAACTAAATGTTTCCCTATGTCCTCTTTATTTTATTCCACGTGCTCAAGAACGGTTGCGGGGAAAGAAAGGGAGAGAAGAGTAAAAAGGAATGGAGGGAGAAGGGGAGTCATAGCGAGACGGCCTCTGCTGAGGGTTGGTTTTGCTTTAGAAACTGGAATGTGTCCAGGCTTGATTTTTATTTTCAATTCACATTTCAGATCCAGCTCCCCAAACTCTTTGATCTTTCTCCCTGTCTCCTTACCCGGAAGAGAACCCTTGGCCTTCTCAGCTGGGAGCTGGGAGCACACGTGGAAAGACTGGCTCGGATCCATATTCTTGCCAAATTTAGTCACACAAAGGGGCCTGCAAGGGAAAAAAGAAAGGATGAAAGCGGCAGCCGCCACGACTTCAAAGGCCGTGCCGCCGAGCCGGGCCTTGCGCAGGCGCCGCCCTCCGCGGATATAAGGCGCGGCTCGCGCGCGCGAGGCGGCCTCTCCGCGCTGGTCTCCCGCGCGCGTCCCCGGCTCGAGCGGGCGGAGGGGACCAGCTGTGGAGGGGAGGGGCCCAAGGGGCGGGCCGCCGCTGCCGCAGGCCGGTCCCCACGCCAAGTTAAGGCGCCTGAGAAAAGTTTTCAGACCGGAGAGAAAAGCATTTACGCCAAGCCCACTAGGCGAGCCGTCCTGTGGCCTCTGCACATTTATGCCAGCACGCACATCCATGCCACTCCGTCCTGGGGATTCCCCCTTCCAGACGTACGGCCGGTGCCTCTGCGCCGGAGCCCCGGTCCCTGCGGCGGTTGACAGGGGTTCCCATTGCGGAGCCCCGCCGCGAGGGCGCGTGGCGGGGCTCTTTCTGGCCCATTCTGCTCCTCGTCCCCTCGTTCCTGTCCGCGATCACCCCAGCTTGACTCCTCTCGCTCCGGACGGCCCCGGGACGTGAGCTCTCGCTTCTCGGGTGGCGGAGGGCCGGCTGGTCCCACACAGGAGGATGGGATGTGGCCTCGGCACGACCCGGCCCTCTGCACCGGCGCGCCTCGGCCCCCCCCCCCCCAATCCAGCGAGCTGCGGACGCCGAGCTCGGCCCGCACCCGCACGAGCGCGGGAGAAGCCACCGGAGAGCTGGACGCGCGGGCGGCCGCGGGGTGCTCCGTGGGCGGGCCCCACGAGGCTGTGCGGGCGCCAGGCTGCCACCCCGACGTCCCAAATTTGGCCCCGAATTTGGGAACGACTCTTTCGCGGTCCCAGGAGTTGTTACCCGGGGGGCAGGGGGCTGGGTTTGTCGGTCTGAGGAGGAGACCAGAAGAGGCGGAAGAACCCCTGGGATGCAAACTGCCATTTACCTCGCGCCCCCCGCCCCCGCCAAGTCCGTTAAACTGAAGGTGCCCACAGCTTTAGTCTCCTGGCGAAGCTAGGATGGGGAATCGAGGGTGCCAGAGTTCGTCCGTCCCTGGAATCACAGTTTTCGTTTTCTACTTCTTCCCCGTCCTTGCTCTCCCCTCGAGCATCCTCTTCCGTAGGCCCCCGCCACCTCCTTCCTTTGGGATCCCACCAAAGTTGTAGCCGGGAGAGACTCCAGGCCACACAAAGGGGAAGACCCGGAGTCTGGGCGGGGGGGTTAGGACCGAGGGGGCGGAGAGGGCTCTGAAGGGCACCGCGCTTTTTTTCTCCTCCCTGTAATTAAGGACTCACTTGAGTGTCTGTAGCTGAGTCCGCTTGGCAGCAAAATCGCCAGGGGGGAGGGGTCTCTGGTGGGAGTGGGGGTCATTCTAGCTCCCCTGTCTGCACCCGCGGGGGCCTGGGCCGCGTTTACCCTGCGGACTGCGAGGCCCGTCTCCGCTCCCCCCTCTCCTCGGTTCCGGCCCCGGGTGGGCGCCTTGTCCCCCACGCGCAGCGCCGGCGACGGCGCCCGGCACCGAGGGAAGTGTTGATATAAAACAAGTCACTGTTCGCTCCCAAACTAAACCCAAACCAACCAAAGCCACCAAGAGGGGAAAAACCAACAGCAATACAGCCAGCCCCTAGCAATTGTTTCACGGTCGGAATTAAATCACATCAAAACGCCCCCTGAAACCCACATCCTGACGGAGTGAACCTGCAACAGCCAACCTCTAGTCGTTCGCTCGAGTTCACACGAACAACCCGCCTCTACATCCGAGGGAAGGGGGCGGCGGGCGGCGGTGTTTCTCCCGCGCCGCACCCACCACATCCCGGACTGTGCACCCAAAGCGGCGGCTTGCATATGTAATAGCAGCCCCCACACGAATTAGAAAAGACCTCCCGGCGACAGAAATGCCTTTGCCTGCAACATCACCGAACCTGTTAGAGGAGAAGGAACTTCTTGCCGGGGTTACTGCACCCCTCCTGAGTTCCCCTGCTTTCCAACCCCCATCCACCCGCCCCAGGAGAGAGAGACTTCACGTGGAGATGTCAACCTCCTTCTCAGACAAAGCTTCAAATATACTTGGGTGAATGTTTTCTGGTAAAGCCCCCTTTAAGTACAGCCCGTCTCAAGATTAGCAACAACGCTAGGGACAGTCAACACCCGCACGCCTCGGGGAGGACAAACAGCCACATAAACAGAGCAAAGCGCTCGGTGATTTCGTTAGAAACAATGTTTCCATAGGAGAGGGTTACCGAAAAGTACCAAACACAGCCACCTACCCTCGGCCCTTCAAGTAAACAGTTCCCACAAGTTATTATTCCCCAAATCCCCATCTTCTCGAGCTTCTAATCCCCAGGACACCTGAACGGGATCTCCAAATGACTTCGGGAGTCCAGATAATTAACATGAAGGAGAAAATGGGATTCGAATTAGTTGTAACACTTAAACAGGGAGATGTAGGAGTTGCCACTTAATATCTTTTTGGCTTCCAGAAAATATCCTCTGGCCATTCTGTGTGCTGCGGCCCCCCCCCGCCCCGCCCCTCCTCAACATTTTGATGCAAAGGAACCTCTACTCTGGCTACTTTAGTGAAACTTGCATTTCCCAGTTCTTTTCCTATCAGCCAAATTGGCACATTTGTGGGAGAACTTTTGACTTTGCTTTCCCATATTTCTTTTAGAACAGAAGGTATTAATGTCATAGCTACATGTTTACAGCCCTAGTACTTTGCACTCACATTGGTACATAACTTCAAGACAAGTTCACTACTGCCACCAATTTAAAAAATGGGTTTCTTGCCAATCTTTTCAGTATTATCTTACAGACACATTTTAACAGCAGAATATTCTTTTTGTTTTTCTTCTCTAAGGCTTTGCATTGTCAGCATTTAAAGTGTATTTAATGCTTTACTCTTCCCGGCTCCCATCACCAGCCCCTTAATTTTGCCCCAATCCCTGCGGATAGAATATGTGTGACAACTGACAGTGCTGTATGTGACCAACTGAACCCTCTAAATGATAGTTTTAAAAAATTGCTTCCTAGTAAATTCCCATCCCTAGGAAGTAGTTAGCAGTAGGCAAAGTTTTAAGTGCTCATTTTGAGCACTGTTAAGGTCTTTACTTATATAATGTCCAGCAGCTTGCAATTCCCCCCCCCCCCCCCGGGGAAAAGAGGGATCCTTGCATGACTGTTTCCTATAAAATAGAGCTAACGTCTGATTCTGTAGTGTTTTCCTTATTTTCAATTTAAGGTAGATGGAGACACATTTCTCCCTGCTTCTTGTTTACTGTTCTGAGGTTTTACAGATGGCTAGTGTATTGGGTATAATAATTTTGCCTGGATTTTTAACTGAGGGGGTTTGAGAGCCAAGGAACAAAATGTAACATGTTTTCAAACTTCAGCTTCACTTATACTGTAACTTTCACAAAGCATCTCCTTAAAAGTTCTGTCCTTGTACAAAATGCATCAAAGAGATGGTGGAGGTTGGGGAATTTTTGAGGTCGGATTCGGATTTGCATCTTCAAGGGTCTCTTTGAGTGCGCAGTCCGAGGTGCCAGAGACTGCCCGGTCCTCCCTCCCTCTACTGGCATCGCACTCCTGGGTCCTTTTGCCTTCTCTCTCCCTCCTTGGGTTGTTTTTTCATTCTCTATTTGGTTCCCATACACTGGTGGTGTGTATCTCCCAAATTCCACGAGAAACCTAGCACAACTTTCTCTGTACATCCCATGGTGAGGATGTACTGAAAGAGATCTTGTTTTAAAAGGCGGTAATTAAGATCCAGTCTTCAGTTTTTTTCTTCTGTGTCCTATTTTTCTCGGGAAGCCTGGAGATTTAATTTTTGCTAGCATGCGTTCTCTTGTCCTTTGACATTATATTTTCGGAAACCCACAACTCTCTTCCTTGTCCTTCTTGTTTCCGTTCTCTTAGTTGAGCAATGTCTGTTATATTTTCCCCTTTTCCTTCTCTCTGTCCCCAATTCCCGCCTCATCCGCCCTGTCAGAGCATCTATCAATGTGGTGTCGATCACAGCTGCGGCGGCTTCTCTTTCATCTTCGTAGCCCTGCCAAAGGGAGGGAGGGAGGGAGAGAGAGGGAGGCGGGAAAGAGGGTGGGGGGAGAGACTTGCAGAGGAAGGTCGGGGTTGGGGGGTGTGGGACAAGAGAGGGGATACTTAGATGTTGAAGTTAAACCTTCTCAGCAGAATTTCTTGTCAATTTCACGCGGGCAAAGGGTGCTTCTTCGTGGGTTACAGGAAGCGCTGGGTCCTTCCTTCTCTCAGCAAGTTGCCTGATTTTTTCCTCTAGGCGCGCGCACGCGCGCGCGCGCGCGCGCACACACACACACACACACACACACACACACACACACACACAGCACTAGGACTCGTCCTACAGGCTCTGGGAAAAGAAAAAAAAGTCCTCAATCACCACCTCCTTCTCGCCGTTCTCCCCCCCCCCCCCCCCCAGCGGGCGGCCGAGGAGAGCTGGAGGCGGGGGAGGGGAGGGGGAGGAGAAGCGACGCAAGTGGGTAGCTTTTCAGCGCCAGCCAGGCGCGGGAGGAGGAGAAGCAGTGGGGAGGCGCAGCCGCTCACCTGCGGGGCAGGGTGCGGAGGAGGGACCCGGGTTGAGCACTCTCGGTCCGAGGAGCCTGGACGCACCCGGAGCCTCGAACGCGGCCAAGCTCAGGGCCCCCCCCCCCCCCCCCCCCACCTTCGGCCAGGCGAACCCGAAGGTGCAGCTCTTTGCTTTGACAGAGCGGCCCGGCGGAGGCGTGGAGAGCGGCGAGCGAGAGCGCCAGACTGAGAAACTCGAGCCGGGAACAAAGAGGGGTCGGGCTGTGTGTGTGTGTGTCAGCTCGAGCTCCACGCAGAAGCATATGGGTCCGAGGCCCCTGCTGTGACTCCCCGAGACCCCGCCGTACCCTCCACTGCCGACTCCCAGCGCTCGCCCGCACAAACTTTATTCTTGGCAAACTTCTTCTCTTTCTCTTCCCTCCTCCTCCCCCTCCACCACCTCCTCCTCCTCCCCCACCTCCTCCTCCTTCCTCCTCCTCCTCCAGCAGATTAAATGCGCCTGGAGAAGGAAAACCGAAGCGAAAGGGAAGGAAATAAGAAGCTCTAAAACGGACATCTCCAACCCGGGTGGCTCTTTAATTTTTTTTATCCTCCAGGAAGTGGACTTTTCGTTATCTTCTGATTCTCCTTGTACCTTCTCTGCTGAGGCAAACGGAGTCTTTTTGCCCAGCTTGCCTCCTTTCTCGGAAAACAAACTCCCAAATTGGCAACCGGGGAAGCTAGGGTGGAGAGGTTTGCGTAGAGACGCGCCGACGGACCCTCCTCTGCATTTGGGAGAGTCGTGCTTCCACCGGAACCGGCGTCCTCCGCGCGCAGACCCTGGAGACGCTGGGGGCGTGGGGTGGCCCCCGGGGCAGCCTAGCCTAGCACGCGCCACGCAGCGCAGACGCCCCAAGAGGCGCCGGCTGTAGCGGCCTTAAGCAGCTCCGTGCCCTTCGGCCTCGAGGGCGGGCGCAGGCGCGGGTCTCAGCGGAGCGGGAAGGCGCGGGCGGCCGCCGGGGCTCGGGCACCGCCGCAGCTGCTCCGGCCGCGGGCCGCCGGCCCCATTTCCGCCCGCTCTTCGCCCTCACGCATCCTTCCAGATCTCCTTTTTCTCCTTCCTCTTTCGTTGATCCCCTGTCTTTCCTGCTGTCGCCTCGGGTGCTCCTCCAGCGGAGCGGAGATTACCGAGTGGTCGGGATGCCCCAACTCTCCGGGGCCGGCGGCGGCGGCGGCGGCGGGGGAGACCCGGAACTCTGCGCCACCGACGAGATGATCCCCTTCAAGGATGAGGGCGATCCTCAGAAGGAGAAAATCTTCGCCGAGATCAGTCACCCCGAAGAGGAAGGCGACTTAGCCGACATCAAGTCCTCCTTGGTTAATGAGTCTGAAATCATCCCGGCCAGCAACGGACACGAGGTGAGCGGGCCGCTGCCCTAAGGTCCGAGAGGCGTGGCGGGTCCCGGGGAAAATTAGAGGAGGGACGGAGATTCTGGGAGCGTCGACTGATGGGTCCCAAGTAGGTCCTCCGTTTGCTGGGGTGGGGGCTTGGGGGGGGGGTTGGATGGGCCGCCCGGCCAACATTCTTCGTGTGTGGGGGTGTGGGTGTCGGTGGGAGGTGGAGAAGTGCAGCGAAGGTTACTCCAAGTGGGTCAGTTCTGAGGTTCGATGACTGAATTGTTGGTTTGTGGGCAGCAGAAGCCGCCCTTAACCCCTAACGTCTTGCGTGCGGACTTTTTAGTGGGGTTGCGAGGGTGCGATGCATTAAAGCGAGGATGTCTGCACAACGCTGAGAAGTTCTTCCGTAGGACGGAAAATAAAGTGCACCCGCTCTCTCTCTCGGTAGATGTCTGCAAAAGTGCGTTAAACCACCAAAGGCTTAGGTAGAGACGAGCAGAGCCGCTGTCAGAAAGGAAGGGGAGGCGGGCGTGGGCCGAGGACAGGCGGGGCGGTCCCAACCGCCGCGAAGCGGGGCTCGCGCGGAGCCGGCCGGCCCAGGGGGCGCGCGCCTGGGTTTCTGCGGCTGCCGGAGTCCCAGCGCCCAGGCCGGCTGCAGGGAGCCGTGGGCGCACCGAACCGAGCCACCACAGGGCGGGAAGCCTCCCAGTGCCGCCGCCAACACTGCTTTTCTCCAACCCCGGTCACTTAAAGTAAAAAAGCGCTTATATTTGGGGTAGTTTGGGGCCTGGATCAGGCCTTAAATCTATGCAGAAAAAAAGGAGAAAGTCGAGATGTGGCGGAAGCCAGGGCACCCACACAGGGAAGGGTGAAAAGCGCTTTATCTGATCTCCTGGCCCGCTGCGGGCGATAGCGCAGGTAACCCAAGTAGAGTAAATACAGACACGTGCGTGCCGGCAAGAGAAAGCCGCAAGCGGGACAGCGCGGAAGGGCTATTTCAGGCGGCGGGGAGTTTCAGAAGGGGGGGGGGGTGGTGGGCGGATGGACCCTGATACCCGACACTCCACTGGCCACCCTCTTTTAACAACTGGGAAACGCTTTGGAGGAAATCCGGTAGAAAAGTCCTAACACTCAAATGATTTCACCAACGCTTTTTCCCTCCAAAGAAACTTAGAGGGTATACCCTTTTCCCTTAAATGGCATACTTCTGCCCCCAAAAAGAAAGCGTGTGGTTTTGGGGGCGGGGACATTTTTGGTTTTAAACAACACGATTAAGAACCCTTCACAGTTACCTTCTGTATCCCAATGGCCGGGGTGAGTATGCATTTGGAAGGCTGGGGGCCTGGGTTCTTAGGAGCACACAAAGGTGTTCGTTATCCTCGAATCTTTCATTCCAACATGCCAATTTAAGGGGGGGGGGTCAGGAAGGGAGCTAGGGTACACCCAACCCCACTTAAAAGGTTTGTGACTATGTATTGGGGGTCGAAGATTACCGGGAGGACATATGGCCAAGGAACCAAGTAACGTCCAAAAAACACTTAGAGGCCAAGCTTGTATTTGTAGAACAGCCTCTTTTTTCTTATCATTTTGCTTGTCCTTCCTTATTCCATGAATACATTTGCCACCCGCTTCACATACTGCGTTTCTGCTCTGGAAAGAAGGGCTCTGCAGCTTGAAGCATAGAACCCAGGGATTAGGGCTCTGTTAATCTTTGCTGTGGTGGTAAGTGGGCACGGGGTAGACCAGGGAAGATGGTGAAGGGGTAATACCACTGATTTGCACGTGGTTGAGGCTGGGTGGATGGTGGTTACCAGAATTGATATTAGCTGGGCTACCTTTAGATGTTTATAACCCAACTCTCAAATTTTCCTCCCTTTAACCACAGAAATAGTTCACTTTTTTTCTTGTCGGCTTGCACTCAGCCTGCCATGGTAGGTTATAAGGAGTGGGGGGCTCCTGCTGGGACTTGCTTGGGACAAGTTGCCTTAAGACCTCCATCTGTGAGTGCATAGTTTCTATTTAAAATGTACTTTTAGTTGTAAAATGATATTTCAGCCCGATTTTAATCAGTACTGATTGAAGTGAACTGTGGCTAAGGAAGCTATCAAAAGGATGAACCCCATTAAGCCCCAACTCCTATCATAATCAGGTGTCCAAGTAGCCTTGATGCATTGTAGCAATCAGAGCACCGTGTGGGTCTTTCCCAGATTTAGTATGTTATTGTTTTTATCATTCTTTATACTTTCTAGTCCTGGGTAGATAATAGTCACCGAAAAATTTGTGTTGAAAAGAAAAAGCAAAAGATTTTCCCGTTCTCAACCCTAGCCTATCCTTCTTAGATTGGTAAAATGGGTACATTGACTTGCACCCAGTCCTCGTCCTTTGAATGACCAGTGGACACACACTTACTACAAACTCTAAGTTGCTTTTCTCTTTTGGGGGCATGGGGGTTCTTGCTGTTAGGTGGCCAGACAAGCACAAACCTCTCAGGAGTCCTACCACGACAAGGCCAGAGAACACCCTGATGACGGTAAGACACTAATACTGCTTCTCCCAAATTTATAACCTCACGTGCAATTTGTGAATATAGGTGTATCGGATGTGATGTGACTGTGCTATTTTAATAAAATAACACTATTTTAACAAAATGGGAAAGAAAATCCAGTGAACTTACTGCCTATGTCTGATATATATTTACATAATTTTAAAACTGTCTTGAATGAGTTAGGGGCCTTTGGATTTTAGCTGGCTTCCAGACTGTGTGGAAGAGGAAATGTCTATAATAAGTTTTCCTCTTTTCCTTATTTTAGCCAAAGTTCTAATTGGCTTATTTTTTTCTGCATTGTTATAGAGTGACAGTCTACACCAATTTATTTTCCAACAAGAAATAGTTTCAAATGGATTTTCCTTTGTAAACTTGCTATTTCTTATTACAGTGAGAGGACAGGCAGTGAATGCACGGACTGAATATGGCCCAGTAAATCGAATCTAACTTGTAAAAATATAAAACTTTATTCTTAAAATTAGGAACTTTGCATATGGAACATGTTAGACTTTCTCCCCATTTCTAATTCTTGCTCAAAAATTTAAAAATTGCGTATATTTTTTAGATTTAAGGAGAGCTCCCTGTGACTTTAAAATAATCTGTAGGGTTTTCATTTCGAATAGTCTGCATTTCTGTTCTCCAGTTTACTTACAGTCGGCCTGACCAGAATGAAGTGTTCATGCATACAATATGTCAGCCAGGAGGAGAAGGGAAGAGAACTGTAATATCAGACTTTCTTCTGAGCTACAAAGTAGTTATACAGATTAAAGAGAAGAAATGTATATAGTAAACACACACAGATTTCTTTGGCAGAATGGTGTAGTACATAAAATTAAGTCTCCTGGAGTTAATCCTTTATAAATTTGATTAGTTGTCCATGTACTAGACACAACTCTTTCTCTTGATAAAATCTAGAAATTTTCTAGAAATCTACAATCACGGGTAGAGTTTTTGAGTTTGCCGATAAGGTGGAGCATAACTTCAGGTGTGTGTGTGTGTGTGTGTGTGTGTGTGTGTGTGTAGCCAGATGGCCTTATATGTTTATAATATAGCTTTAGATTTGTGTGTGTTTTTCCCTGTGCCTGTATTTCTTGGTCCAGTTTGTTAGTTTTAGAGCAAATTAAGTAAGATGAATAACACTTATTTTTGTAAAAACACCCATCAGTAGTGGAAGTAAATTGAACCACATGTTTTTAAAACATCTGTTTTGCTGCTAAGTCATTTAAGAGAATAAATACTGTCAATCTAAAATAGAGCATAATAAGCCAGTTACAGTATTTTGTAAACAAGTCTTTTGTATAAGGTCTGATTTGTCATAGAACTATTAGATTTTCAGATGAAAATACAGTGATATAAAAAGGAAATCAATGCATCATTGATTGTTATTTGAATTCTCTCAGGAAAGCATCCAGATGGAGGCCTCTACAACAAGGGACCCTCCTACTCAAGTTATTCCGGGTACATAATGATGCCAAATATGAATAATGACCCATACATGTCAAATGGATCTCTTTCTCCACCCATCCCAAGAACAGTGAGTAACATGCTGATGTTGCAAATTATTTTCAGAAGTGGAAGTTAATTTGTATGTTAGCAAAATGTTTGTTTTTTAAAACACTTTAGAAATACTCTCATTATATGTGACTGGTCATTACTAAATAAGACCTGCTGTGAAGAATGGCTGCCTTGAAAGAGTACTTACTACCTTTGATGTCTTGCTTTTGGAATTTTAGCTTTTGGCTTATTGGTTAAGATTAATAAATAACAGAGCTCCAGTTATCATGAAATCAAGTAAAGCTAAGTCAACAAATTCATGATTTTATGAGTATTGTGCTTTTTATGCTGATGACAGGAGAAAATTGATTTAATTTTTCAGTTAACTAAGTACTGTATAGTTTTCACTGCCCATAAACCATCTAGAACCAGAACTACTTTAGCTCATTGAGTAGTTGAACATTTAGAATGTTACTTCAGCTTTTAAAACAGTGTTTCGTTGTATTGTATTACCCTATGTTTTTTAACAAATCAGTTGGGGGTCAGGTGGGGATGAGGTATTTTTACTCTATTGTCAGTTGTTGAGAAAGTATCATTTGAAGACCATCCTAAGGAAAATTGTTCTTTTTATCTCATGGCTCACTTAACTTTTCAAGTTCTAAAAAATTCAGTGGCATTATAACTACATTAATGCAAATGTTTAACTCTGTGAAGAATTTCAGATACGTTATTTGATGCTATTTTTCTTTGTTGGGAAGCGAAAACCTTTATACAGTAGGAAAACACCTAAAGGGTAACTTGTATAGTATGTGAATGTGAAGTGTACTGGTGACTGGAGTTCTCCCACAGAATAGTCCCTTCTGTGGTAGTGACGGATTTTCACTGATCCATCAGTGTATTTACCCTATTTCAGACTTCTTCTCCCTCTGCCACCTAAGCCCCAGTGAAGAACATGTATGTGTGGGTCTTGGGGATTAGGGGTTTAGTCTGTTCCTCCAGGGAGAGAAATCCAGGATCGTGAAAATGGAACCTATGGTCTTGCCTTATTAGTCCAGTGCTTCCACTAAGTGGGGGGTAAAAAATCACAGACATCTGGGGAAAGTACTGGTATTAATACCTCTGGGATCTAGAAGATTCAGCAAAGGAGCAGAGAGAAGAATCAATTGTGAACAAACAAGAGTATTTGTGATTATTTGTAGTCTTTGTTAGAACGAGAGGTATATGAGATATGTGTGGGCACTGTGATTTAGAAGTTAATGTAATTATTTTTCCATAAATTTCCAAAAGATATTTGAACTTTCAAGTAGGGAATAAGATATTTCTAATTTTCATATAGCAGCTAAAATGGTGATCTTGGCAAACTTGTGACGGTTGTTATATGAAATAGAGTTTTCACATTTTATTTTAAAAGGCTCTTCAAATATTTGATGATAGAGATGTCTGTGTGATACATACAAATCTCCTGACTAAAAAGTATATTAACTAATTAAGCAAATACAGTTTAATATTTAGAGACCACCCCAAGTATAAATGCTTCTGAGTTTTAAAATTTGTAGGTGACTTTATATTTGTTGAACTAAATATGCAGACATCTCAGATACTTCTTTTATCGTTGGGCTATTTTGTTGGGGTTTTTTTGGATGGTAAGGAGGAGAATATGTTTTAGATAAGGGATAATTGAAGATTTCTGTTGAAAGTCTTTTTAGAACAACAAATAATCTTTCTGACAAATCTAAATTATAGTCTCTGCACTGGTAACAATGGAAGATAACCCCTAAAACAATCTTACACTTTTCAGCTGTAAACACAATTAATGCTTAATAAGTATTTGTGGGATTTATTCTTTAGTTCAGCCACTTCTCCTTTCAAAACGATAATTGTTAAAAGTCAATATAATAAAAATCTGATACGGATAAATTATCCCTAAGCATATTGAAAATTAAGCTTCTTTAAATTAGCACTTTCTGCTTTAGGTCTCCAGCACGCAGCACGCACCCCCACCCCCCACCCCGCCAATACTAATAATTTTGAAATTCTGATAGAAGGTATTTATTGTTAGTATACGTATTAAAATTTTGAGGTCAGTGAGTTGAACAGTCATTCATTGTTTAGGAAAGATTTGTGGCCAGAATAAATGTTGGTGGGTGTAGATTGGAGGAAAGGGGTGTGGTTAGGAAACAGTTACCTTACCTTGTTACCTGCTGTTTTGGTGTATTCTGTTATATTTTAGGACCTGTTTATTTTAGGCACATTTTGTTGCGATATTCTGCAGTTTGCACAATTATAGAAGCTTTTCAGTTTTAACCACAAGGCTATGTCCATTTTTTTTTTTAAGGGTAGTTGCAGTCTTCGGTTTTTAATACCTAGCAGCTGTTTTTAATGTGTCTGAGATCCAAAACACTTTAACCGGAAAGCAGCCTCTCTTATTCACCCCTAACCGTGCTTTCTGCCGTCTTGCTCTTTAACTCTCTCCTTAGCAGGACTTAGTGTTTGTGTAACTGACATTCTCAGTGATAAGTTTTCATCTAGGGTGTCAGGAGCTGGGTGACCATTTGTGTTTGAGCTGAAGGTGGGGGTAGCCCCAAGGAATCCTCGTTACTTGCATTTGCATTACAAACAACTGCTTGTTTACGGGCATCTGCTCCCCGCAGGTGTTAGGACTAGAAAAACATCTGGGGGTGGGGGAGGGCCCTGACCGCCCCTTCCTCACACAGAATCTTCCATTTTATAGGAACCTGCACATATCCAGAGATTATCAGCTAAGGCCAATTGGCACGCACAGATGTGTTTCTGTTGATAGCTCATTTTAACAATTCTATATGCGTTTTACTCCTTTTTAGACAAATACTGACATACAGATGCTTACACAGCTTTTACCTGTGGCCTAAGTACAGTATTACCTACTCAAGAGAACCACCTTTGCCAGTCCAGCTTTTTCCCTTCTGAAGGGAAGTTTTAACTGGCTAGTTACATGTTTCAGAACTGGAATTCTTAGAGGTGTGTTTATATCAGAAATATTATGAATGAGTATCTCAAAGAATTTTAAATGCGAATTCTCAATTCAAATAAATCAGGCCTAATAAGAAAACACCTGTAATAATAACACATTTGGTGTCAGTTGTTAAAGCACAGTAAACCTTGGCTTGAGTTGGTCGTTTTCATAGAGAGTAAGAAGATGCTGAAGCTTGTTAAATATTTCAGAACAAGGACCCTAGAGAATTTATTGAAAGCATACTCCCAAGCCTTTTTTTTTTTTTTCTGTGAGTCTTATTTATGGCAGTCCCTCTAGGCCAATGGTAAAGTATTAAAAGAAAAAAATACTTTGTTACCTCCTTTGGGTCCTGGCGCTTGCGTGCCTGAATACCCTGAATACCATGTGAGCAGGGGGTTTGGCTGGCTTCAACATAGTGAAAGTTCCCTTTGGCATAATGTACTGTGGTTATTAATCTTAGGTGTCAGACTTACATTTGTCCCATAGGCTACCCACGTTTTTAACACCTCTGAAGAGAAGCATCTCATTTCTCTTCAGATGCATGGGAGGGAAAAGCAGCAGACGTCTTGCGGGGAGCTACAGCAAATGTTACAGCTGGGTCGTAGGACCCACCGACCTACCTCAGTAACACCTGGTCAGCACCGTGCTGCTGACTTCATTGTTTCTTTGTGCTCACACAGGATGGATTTTTAGGTGGGAAAAGAAGATGTTTATGTTTGCATTTCATCTTTCCTTTTTTTCTTATTTTTAGTAGACATTGCTATTAAAATGTTCAGGGGATCTTTTTTCATTAGTTTGAGCATCTCCGTTCTATTGTATGGTTTTTTTTTTTTTTTTTTACCTTAAGAGAAACATCATTTTGATTTCTGATGAACAGAATATAATAGGTATCTATTATGACTTTGTGATAACCTACCCCCATGTTTGTATTTGCTCACAAACAGCTTAAAATTGATTTTCGTCATTGCTACATCTTGAATTAGTAATTAGGTAAGCTTATGCTTATCTGTAAGCTTACACTTATACCACTGTGCATTGCTGAATAGCTTTGAAAATACAGAAGTAATAATTCAAGAGTGGAGGGAGACTGTGGCTTATATTTTGAGCAAGGTTTTTAAGGTGGGGTGTCTTCACTTTACAAGAAGCTACTTAATTTGATTTAGTGAGAAATTATTTTAAATTTTCTAAGTTGCATACTTTCCGAAGCTAAGTACATTAAATTTGCAGGAGAATTTAAGTTTTAGAAGATGGGTTCTATCTCAAATTTGTTTTTTTTTTTTAATATTTATAACATCTTTATTTCACTTGACTTTTTTTTTTATTTTATATATGAAATTTATTGTCAAATTGGTTTCCATACAACACCCAGTGCTCATCCCAAAAGGTGCCCTCTTCAATACCCATCACCCACCCTCTTCTCCCTCCCACCCCCCATCAACCCTCAGTTTGTTCTCAGTTTTTAACAGTCTCTTATGCTTTGGCTCTCTCCCACTCTAACCTCTTTTTTTTTTTTGTTCCTTCCCCTCCCCCATGGATTCCTGTTACGTTTCTCAGGATCCACATAAGAGTGAAATCATATGGTATCTGTCTTTCTCTGTATGGCTTATTTCACTTAGCATCACACTCTCCAGTTCCATCCACGTTGCTACAAAAGGCCATATTTCATTTTTTCTCATTGCCACGTAGTATTCCATTGTGTATATAAACCACAATTTCTTTATCCATTCATCAGTTGATGGACATTTAGGCTCTTTCCATAATTTGGCTATTGTTGAGAGTGCTGCTATGAACATTGGGGTACAAGTGCCCCTATGCATTCTATCTCAAATTTGAATGTGTGTATCAGGAGAATGTGTGGGGAAATTCCCCAGAGCCCTCAAACTCTTCTAGTTCATTCATTTGATACATTTTTAATTGTAATGCTACAAAGCAGGGAAGGATCTTAGTCTGAATAATTGGAAGCTGATGCGACACCTTACTCCCCCGCAACTACCATTCATGTATCTGAGCTATCTCAGGACCAAATGGTTTGCTTATTCAAGCGTTCC